GAAGAATATGCTGCAGTGGATCAAAGCATTCTTGGAAAAATAATCCAAGCATTTTATCTCCTCATACCTAACTTTAGTTTATATTCATTAAGAAAATTCCAACATCTAGGGCATATGAGTGCAGACCACAAGCACACAGACATGGAAAGGGAAAATCATTCTTCAGACATTAGCATAAAGATATGAATCAGTATATTACCAGCTCTAGATATGAAATATGGAGGAAGCTCCCCTAGTGCAGTTCCAATGCCCCACAAAACAGCCTCAGGTTGAATCTGAGCCAAAATGCTGGTCAGTGGAATTCGGGAGCCTTGCAGTGATGAATACATTGGAGGCCCAAAAGAAGTGCAGTTTCTGTCCAGCCATGAAGGACCACTATGCAGTTGAATCGTATCATATACAGAGCTTTTTATATCAACGCGGCCACACTTTACAGCTTTGATTGTGAATAGAGCAACATGTGGACCCAAATACAGAACAAATGTATGCAGACCTGATCCTGCAGGACATGAAAAGTTTCAACGTTTCAAATACTTTCCAAGTAAAATCACCTGGACATGATATTATTAGAAAACGAGAAAAGAATCCAGTTCTTGTGGCAATATTTGTTGCTTAATCAGAAATAGAACAGAGTTTGTTGGCCAAACATTCCTTGTAAAATGTCAAACTTCTCCATGGTACATGCTAGCTAAGTAGCTCAACATATAGCCATGGATGAGTCTAAACGCTGAAGCTCATATCTTTGAAACTTCATGTACATTATCATGCATGCATCAAGTTTATTACCATCTCTAGCTAACATGCATTAGCCTTTGCCAACCTTAGTTTTCTTTCCAAGTAGGAGTACTCAAAAGTGTCAAATCTTATCTTGATTTACTATTCCCACACAACATTTAAGTAACCAGTAAACCTTTGGAAAAAAGTTCCTTTCCATGTGTTTCAAGTCCACAAGAGAGTGTGTACAAGAAAGGCAATGCACAACAGAATTAGAGATAAACTTTAATTCAGAAGTATGAATTGCAATGATAATCCCTATGAATCATCCGGCCAAAATCATGAAGAAACAGCAAATAAGAAAACAAGAACAATTCTTTTACCTAGACCAATTGAAGATGCTACACCAAGTGCCAACCACCAGAGTCCAAATCGAAGATAATTAACAAGTTCAAGGACATGCTGTAGTATCAACAAGGTACAAACTTGAAATCAGAATAAGAACACAGCCTTTAATTTCTATTTGAAAAAGGAAGCATTTTATGAAAGGGGAATAAGCTTAAATTCATAAATCAAAAACACCAGCCAGGTAATACTTTCTAGCAAGATCAACAATCCAATCTAGCATTTTCAGCAAACTTATCACCACTAGTTATATTTTCATGAAAAGGTTCATGGACATGCTGCAGTATCAACAAGGTACAAAATTGTAATCAGACAGCTTTTAATTTTTAATAGGAAAAGGAAGCATTTTACAAATGAGGAAATAAGCATATAAATCCACAAAAACAAAAACCACAGCGGAAAAAAAAAAAAACACCAGCACTCAATAAAATCCACAAAAATCATGTTACCTCCTGATAAGGGCCATCTATGGTGATGACTAGAAACCCAATAGTTCCTATAAAGATACTAGTCAGAAGCAAAAGCCAGCCATTTTTTGCAAACAATCTCTGGACAAATTGAGCTATAGCCAATACAAAATATGCAAAGGTCTTTATAGGCTGTGTTGCTAACGTTAGATTCTCTAATTCTTCTCTTTGCTTCTCTCTAATTCCTGTAAAACATAAACAAGCAAAAAGATGAACCTTCAATCTACATTGAAAATAAATAAATAAACTGAAAATGTCAAAAACCTTAAAAAAAACAGTTTCTTAATTCCCTAAACTCTAGGCAAGTAAAATGAAAAGAAAAGAAAAGAAAAGAGCCCTTTAATTCATTTTGTGAAAATATTGAACAAAATTCGCAAAACCACCAACAGTTTCTTAATTTCCATCACTAATGCATTAACTAAGCTCTAAAAACCACAAAAAATCATTTTTTAAAAAAAAAACGCACAAAGAAATCCCAACAAGTCTATTAAATTTCTAATGAACCAAGCAGAGAGTCAATAACGAACCAGCAAGTACTTTACTTACTACGAATTGACATATTGTTGATGTCCTGCTCTTGTGTTTTCGGGATCTCCATTAATTGAAAGGGAGAGGCGTAAATCAACCGCTATTTCTTTCTCTTTCACTCTCCTGGACAAAAAAAATCGATACCTTCTCAAATTCTACGTGTTGTCGTTCTGAATTTATGAAGAGATAGAGCCTTGAGAAGCGAGAAATTGGACGGTGTTAGAGAAGGAGCAAAGCAACCTCCTGCTGGAACTTTTAAAAGAAGAAAGCAACATCAGCGTGAAGGAGACATCGACAGAGACAGAGACGGTCGGTTTGTGTTTGGGATTGCTTATGCTTTTGTTTTGGTGCTTTTTAAATAAAGTTTAGGATAGCTGTTTCTATTCAATTTTTTTAAAATATATTAAAATAATATTTTAATATTTAAAATTTATTTTATATATTAGCAAATCTAGAATTATAAAAAAGATTTTAAAAAATAAAAATAAAATTATGATTAGAAAAATCCAGTTTCAAATAAAATTCAATCGAATTAATAAGTTATTTCACTGAATTTATAAAACTATATTTTTCTCTAATAAATAAACATTTCCACTTTGTACATTAAAAAAAAATTAATTTAAATAAAAAGGCCTTTGTTAGAGTTGTGCCAATGTGAATTTATTGGGATTGGCCCATGAATCCCATAAATGTTTTTAATATTAAAAGGACTCATTAATTAGTATTCAAAATGTAAACTATAAGAATTACGTTGCAATTAACTTTTTAAATAAAAACTTCAGAGTACCAGTGAGCAATATTCTATTTCAATTGAAAAATCAAATTCAACCAAATTGAATAATTATTTTTTATTTTAAATTAAATTAAATTTTTTTAACAAATCTGATTAATTTTCAGTTTGGTTTATAATATTTTTATTATGTTTTCTTGTAATAACTTATAGCCTATATCCAATACCTGCGTGAGATTTTTTACAAACTCAATTTTTTTAGCCAAAATCCTACTTTTATTTTGATTACTATTATAGTTCAATCCCACTTTTAATTTTTATTAAAAGAATACTTTTTAATTTTAAAATAATTTTTTTGATGTTTTAGATGATTTTGATTTTAATGTACTAAGTTAAAAATAAATTTAAAAAAATAAAAAATTACTATTTTGATATATTTCCAAGTAAATTTTATTTTAAAAAATAATTTAAATCACACTTTCAAACAATCCATTCATTTATACTTATAGATATACAAGAGTTTCTAATGATCTTATTTTTATCTTATTAATAATAAATATTTTTTTTATTGATGTTATTAAGATGAAATGACTTTCCAACTCTCTTGTAAAAACAAAATCATAAAATTTAATGATATAAATATTTTTGAATCATCAAAATAAAGGTATATAATTTCTCTATTCTCGGTATATATATACATAATATCATTTTTTTAAAAATATTTATTTCATATTAAAAAAAACAAATAATATTATTATTACGATTTAATATTCTTTTTACATATTTATTTCATTTTATCTCTATAAGATATCAATTTAAGTATATAAAAAGATCTAAATACACTAAAAGAGAATTGTTTTGGAAGTACTAGGATTTATATATCAAGTTATTATTATTTTTAATTATAGAAAATATATCAAATAGCAATTACACTTAATTAAACTAGTTATCCAACTATTAAAAAAATTTATTTCTAAACAATTATTTTAGAATACAATAAATGTTTAGGCCAGATTTTATCTTGTACTTTATTTAAATTCTCATGCCTTTAAGTTATTTTATGAAATTTTACTTATAAAAAAATTATTAATTATCTTTTTATAATTTATACGAGTTGGTTCATGTCATTTGGGTAGAAAGAATGACTCAATATTTTTATAGTTATTATATATAATCATATTTACAAAAGAAGACAATTGCCCTTATTTTTTTTTCAAAATAATTTTTTTTTGTTAGAATCTTTTTTCTGTACTAATTAGTTATTAAAAATATTAGAGTTTATAATAATTTATAAATTTATTAAATTAATATATATATATATATATATGAGTAATATTATATACTAACAAATATCAATTGAAATGAATTTTAACGAATTAATATGGATTTTGCTATAAATTTTATATAAAAAATGATATTGATGAATTTATTAGTGATTAAAAATGAAGTATATGACAACTAAAAAATAGGGACATAATAGATCAATTAAAAAAAATATTTAATATTTATATTTAATTCACTTATACAAAACAATATTAATTTGTGACAATCTTTTTAAGTTATAATTTTAGATAATAAATAATATATATTATATGTTAACATAAAATTATTGTCAAGAACTTTTGTAGTCCTTAAAAAATTTAGAAATAGATAAATAAAAGTTTATTGTATATATTGAGAATGATATTTTTAATAATATTAAAAATAAAATTATTATGAAGTAGTTTTAAAATATAAAATTTTGAAGAGAATAATTATAATGTAAGTTTATTTATTTAAAAAAATTTAAATTAATTTTACTTGACTTAAATTAGTATATTTTTTTATATAATGCATATTCATATAATATATAATATATAATATTTATTAATAATTTTTTCCATTTAAAAATTCTGGCCGCACGGCTGCTATATAAGTTATAATCTAGGTTTTTTTTTTTTTTTCAAAACAAGATTGTTTTTTATTTATTATTTAAATCTTGATTTTAACATGACAAGATTTTGCCAACTTAATTAGTTCGCGATTCAACTTGTTAAATTGCTCAAGAAGTTTAACTGAGTCAATATTAAAACTAATTTAAATTAAAAATTAACCTAAATCAGGGTCTACTTGGATTTGTTAGGTCAACACACTAAATGAACCGTGCCTAGTAACGAAAATATTCGGTTTAGACAAGGTTATGCTTTTGATAAGTTCGATTAACCGAAAACGGAATCGAAATATTGAAAACCGAAACCGAAAGCCGATAGCTCACCCCGGCGGGCACGCATCAAAAGTGGTATAGCGTGTCAAGAAAAAGAGAAGAGACTGACTGTTGAAAATCTAGTCCAACCTCAAACAGTGTTAGAATCGCTTTACAAGATAACGGTGGAGAGGTCAGTCTCCTAAAGACAAAATAAAAAGAAGTGAACAAGAAGCGAGAATTCAGTTCAGAAGAAATCCGAAAGACGGAGAGAGTACCTCTTGTTACAGACCGTCTCTCTCTCTGGTGCCTAAAGGCAAAGCTGGTGGCAAATTCTGATAAACTTTTCACAAGGTTTCGCTACTATATCTCTGATTCTCTTTTTACATGTGCTTTCGGCTGTGTGTGGTGTGAAACCATCAAAATGTGAACATTTTCTTACACTTTTATGCATAGCTAGGCACAAATACATGTGCTTTCGTGTCAAAGACTTTGGTTTTGATGTGGGTTTTTTATTTAAATGGGAGCTAGTTGGTCATTACCTTCATTGTCTCTGCTAAATTTGGTTTAGCATTAGTAGAATGATTCTTTGTTTTTGTTTTAAATTAGTAAATTCAATCAAGAAAAGGTTAATCTTTGCTGTCAAGGGAAGGTTTGAAGAGAGTGGAGTAGTACTTTATGTTAGCTAGAATTGCTGCAATTTTTTTTTTGATCAACTGGGACAAGATAAAAATTATAGGATTTTGTCAAACATAAAGGATGTGATTGCGGAGTGTGGAATGTGAAAAAGGGATGGTCTTTTTTTTCTCGGGAAAGAAGAGAGCATAGGATTTTGCAATATGTGGATATTGGTGTTGTGGAAATTAAGAGTTTCTTTTGCACCGGTTTATTAGTTTAGAGTGGCAATTTAAGTTCCCGGGACAGGATTTTTGTGGTTGCAATCGTATAACATGAAGGGAAGTTTCAAGGTATTAAGAGGGGATGACAAAAGTTCTGGTTGATAATGTATATGAAGGGAGAAGATTGTGTGGGGATTTTGTTGTTGCAAGGAAAGGGAGATAGTGAGTTAAATCTGTTGGTTTTTTGCTGTTTTGTACTTAATATGCTTGTAAATAGTCTTTGTTCACAAGGCTCATAGTGACTGAAGGTTTTCTTTGTCTAAACTTCTGCCAACTGTAATGCTCTTTACATCACATAGTCATATATTATCATTATCTTCGTTGGCATTAAAATTCAAGAAATATTAGTATTACTAGGTTTCTGATTCTATTTATTTATGTGTGTGTTCTTTGTCCGAGGTCTATGCTATCTTAAATTTGTCGTTTTAGGATACCCACTTAACCTATATTTATTTTCAAACACATTTGCTTATGTGAGAGAGACTTTTGTTTTGAGTTGAGTTTTAGAGTAGATGGTTTTTTCACTGGAGCTAGGAGATTGTCGGAATCATTGTCTCTTCTAAATTTTGTTTGAAGTTTTGATCTTTAGCAATGGCACCTAGAGAATGAGGGAGGAAATTAAAGAAAACAGGGTTGTACTAAAGAAGCAGAAGGTGGGTAAATTTATGGAGGAAAAGCAATTGGAGAAGCTTAAGGGAGTGGGAGAGAAGAAGGAACAGGAGGAGGAGTCGGGTATAGTTAGGTTGGTTTGAAAAGACTTTTGTTTTGGCAGTGGAGATTTCTATTTTTTCAACTGTTTCTTTCAGTTCTGGCCTCCCTATCTTAATGCCAAAAAGTTTGAGCACATGATGCTACTGTAGTTGCTGAAACAGGGTCATTCAGAACCTGAGAAAAAGATTGGTTGTGGGATCCATGCTTTCTGAGTCCATTTTCATCCAGTGCAGAAGAGTTGGCGCTTCTTCCAAGGCTTTGTTGATGATCCCAGTTTCCTGAAGAGCGTGGATAATATTCCTCCCTTGCCAAAGGACATGAAAATAAATTCTGATGCTAGCACATGTTTTGGTGGTGGTAACGATTGCAAAAGGGTAGGTGGTGGCGTAGGAAGATGTAAACCTAGAAACTGATCGTTTCCTTTGATTTACCTGGGGGGAGAGGTTTCGTAGCAGCAAAATGAGGGTTGCTGTCTTCAACTTCCCCTTGTCTGCATGTCGACGTGCTTTTATAAATAGATTTCATGTGGCATTAAGTGGTTTCAGTATGTTCCTCATCACTGAGAGATATCCTTTGTACCTCGATAAAATCTTTTGATCCACGCCCCCCCCCTATGGACACTTATATGCCTTTAGGTCCTTCACTCTCTTGTCCTGAATGAAAATAATGATGTATCCAGTCTCATGTAAACATGATGTGTTGACTTTTGTGAATTTTAACTTGCTCCAATGCATACTCTGTTCCTTCGTTGTCTTGTTGATCTTATTCATTTTGGATCACAATTTAACTATTAACCTTAATGCTCCTTCACTCCCAACACACTCGTGCATGCAGACATATTTGGCTACTTGATCTTTTGAGTCTGTCATGTTGCAATGATCAAGTTATGTGATTTACACGATTACTTACTAAAGGTAACATTTGTCCATATTTCTTTGATGCCTAAAGCTAATGTGTTATTAAGTTATTGTACACACAGTTTGTAATTGTTGTACATCTTGGATGGATTTATACTTGTGAACAAGATGTGAATTTACCCAATTTGGAATTGGAAATCTCCAACCAGTCTATGCTCAGCTTTTGCTGCACCATCAAAGTGCATGTGTGCTGGGAAGCTGTGCATAACTGTAAGCATGTTATTAAGAATGTGGTGTCCTGATGCTCCTCTATCACTGTCGTTCAGATATCATGGATCTTCAGTTGCCAATGGAAAAGGTATCTTTTGGCCTAAATTCCACTGAGGAAAATAACAAGATAAATGTTGCTCTTGTGGCAACTGGCAGTTTCAATCCTCCAACTTTTATGCACCTGCGAATGTTTGAGCTAGCAAGAGATGCATTACAGTCAGAGGGATTCCATGTCATTGCAGCATACATGTCGCCTGTTAGTGATGCATACAAGAAAGCAGGCCTCATATCTGGGGATCATAGGTTGCAGATGTGTCGCTTGGCCTGTGAAACTTCAGATTTCATAATGGTTGATCCATGGGAGGTAAACCAAAGCACTTACCAACGTACTTTGACTATTTTACAAAGAGTAGAGGGTTCATTTACTAATGGCACGAAGATGTCCAGGGAATCAATTAGGGTCATGCTTGTTTGTGGTTCTGATTTACTCCAGTCATTTAGCATTCCTGGGTTTTGGATTCGTGATCAGGTGAGAACCATATGCAGTGACTATGGTGTGGTCTGCATATGTAGAGAAGGGCAAGATGTTAATAAGATTATATCTGATGATGAAATTTTGAATGAAAACAAGGGTAATATCAGAGTTACAAATGATCTTGTTCCAAACCAGATCAGTTCAACAAGAGTAAGGGAATGCATTTCAAGAGGGTTGTCCATAAAGTACTTAACTGCAGATGGAGTGATTGATTACATTAGAGACACAGGTTTGTACCGGAACCAAGAGGACAAAAAAGATGATTTCTAATCATATCACAGCTTTGTTCATTAACTATATGTAAGTCCATATTTTGAGCAGTCATAATTACTTGATAGACGAAGCACCGAAACAGGAAAATACATCTGCAAGTTTGGTTTGTTCTGATTTATCACAGTCTAGATTAATCTTTTCTTTTGAATCTTATTTTCATACAAAGAAATATCATTCTCCTATAGTTTGTACAATGCTATGTCATGTCATGTTTAATGCTATGGTTGATCCTTTTCTGCTTGGTGGTGTTCTTCGTTTGTGTCATTCTCCTTTGTTCCGAGTTGAATCATCAAGCTTTAGTTCATGCTGTTTTCTGGATTCTTTGTTATTAAGACGAATTCATCAGGATTCAGTTGATTAACCCGCAAGGAAGTAATTATGATCAGGTCAATAGTTTAGTCTCAAAATGAGACCGCTTGTGTTGAATTCTCTACAGCTAAATGACCATCTTAAGATACGGCATTCTGGAGCCAACTCATCAATCAATCTAGATGTAGATGGCTTCGAAGTGTTCTTCTTTCCTGGTAAAAGTTTTGGATAAGAAAAAAACTTACGGGTTTTGAATGACGAAAGGTCCATGGATTCAAGAACAAGGAATTCTAAGATATACGTCGAGAGAATTGTATGCATCTCATACAGCAGCAGACTAGACCCATATTGACCAGGACCAGCCTCTCTTTTCCACGAACCCTTCAAGGTGCCTAAATCGAAGACTTGAAGACTCAAAATCACAGTTTGATTGGCTTGGTGATTTGCAAGTTGGATTTGGAAAGTATCCCAAGCTGCCTGCCCCATGTCTCCTACCAAAAGCCAAAATATAGTGAAATTGAAAGATACAACTTGCAATAACTCATCAAAAGAAACAGTGCAATTAAGAATCGCAAGTGGGAACAGCTTTTAATTCATTATTTACGTGTTCGCACATCTCCATGTTAACACAACTTGATTGCTATCCACAAATTGTCATTAAAATTATTTGTCATTTGCAAGAAGGTGCTCCTTCTATAATCATATTTGTTAAATCTCTTCGTGTCAATCCCAAGATTTTTTTTTAAATGAAATGAAATCATTTTAATAAAAATATTAATTCAAATTAACCCAAGATTTTATAGAATTATCTAAGAACACATACTTTCATACGTACAGATGGATCCTTCAGTTGAGTTCTAAGAAGTCATCTGGACAACGTAATATTATATCTGAGCATAAAGTTTTGATTTTCCTTTTCTGTTCTGTTTTTTTTGGAAAATAAGTACTGTTCAATTTTGGACACTTGTGTTTGTGAAACTTGTCAAGCTTATTTATAAAATAAGGTGTTGGTATAATTATACTTCATTGTCTTGAACAAAATGATTTGTCACAATTCAATGAACCAAATTGAGCTGGATTGGTATGCCTTCCATATGATGTCATGGGAATTTCAATTCGCATGGTTTAATACAAGTGGCTGGATAAACAACTGCAATTTACAACGTTAATTTCTTTGTCCGATAATTTCTTTTAAATTAATTTGATTTTTCTTCTGTTATTTTCATCATCTTATCCAATAAATCATCCTCACAAGTTCCATATAATTTATAATCAAAACGATTAAAATATCATTTTTCATATAACTTCATGATTTTAGTTTTATTGATATGATATAGTCTTTAATGCTATAAATAAAATAGAAATTAATTATCCAAATGAAAAGCATAGAAGCTGCAGCATATCAAACGACCTCGAATATATCTACAATAATTGGTGGGAATGACCCAGCATTTATTGCTAGAAGAGCGAGCGATCTGCTAATTCTACAAGCACAGGCTACCATGGAAGCTGTTTCAAATCAAATTTCCAATCAAAGTTTGGTGAATGAATTAAGCTTGCGTGAAAGATGCCGTTGTTGATTTTTCTATTTTATTTGTGTTTATGATTCTTTTACGTATATGGTTTGGTAGACTTAACTAGCTATTACGTGAGTGAACGCAAACATGCATGCATATAGAAATTACGTGACACATATATTTACCTTACCATAGGATTAGAAATTATGTATTTCACAAAATGAAATAATATAATGTAATTCTCATGAAAAAAAATAAAACATGATTTAATCTTGAGGAGTGTAGCTTAATTAATTAAATTTTAAATTTATTTTTTAGTTATCATAAACTTGACTTTCATAAATTAAAAACTTAAAAACTTATATAGATATTAACTTTAACATATCAAGGAACTAATCAAGATATTTACCAGGCTTAGATACTCACAATTATAAAAAAAATAATAATAAAAACTTAATTTTAATTTCACCAATGAAACATGTCGTGTTTTCTTGTTATGTAATAAATAAATAAATTAGATTCGTTGAAACTGGAAAGAAATCATAAGCTACTGTGCAGAAAAAATAATTAATAAATGCATTCCAAGCTGGAGATATGGAAAAGGAAAACAGGAATTCAATTCAACTGGTTCTGCATTTGGATCAGGATGAAGAATGCTTTTCTTCGAGAGAATTTCTCAACATTGTTGTTTTATTTCAAGTTTTACAAGCTATTAGAATACATAGTAATCTCTTGGTTTCTTCCAAAAGCAGCCATGGATATGGTCCTTAATTATATAAAACGTGAAAAGCATACATAAAATTGCTCCTCTTATTTTATGTTGGTGAACCACACCAATACACGTAAAAAGAAGGATAAAAAACTGGAATCCTGCATGAATTCCAAAAGGGCTGCTCTGCAACCCACCAGGATCCCTACCAATATCCTTCATGCAACTTGGACCAAATTAACATTGTGAGAAGCATAGCTATTAACCTATTAATCTTGATTAAGCGGTTCATCCAGTGCAAAATAACCCCAAATATTATTAAAAAAAAATCAATGAATTATGATACATTCGACGATTTCAAATCAACAAGAATTTTTAACTAGATCACATCGAATAAACTTCACTCAATTTTTTGTTTTTTTTTTTTGGTGAAACTCAGTCTTCTCTTTAATGGGGTTGATAAAAAAAATAATATATGGTGATTAAAAAAATAATATAAAAAAACAATATTGTTATGTGGTAAAATAAAGCGACAAGAAAGTGGTGGGGAAGAGAGGGATGGGTGTCACAATTATAAACCATCAAGAAGTCAAACTAAGCATGTTGAAAATGTCGTACGGGGCACCACCACAATGCGGGGTTCCAATTTGGCCACCTCTCTTTGTGGATAAGATCAATGGAGCTACCATGAAGTACCATGATGGTGTGCGACGCAGTCCCCTTTGTAAAATACCTTGGACTTCTTCTAATTTGCCTCATAAAATGTTTAGGATATTGATTTTGTTTTTAGAAATGTAGATATGAAGGTTTTATTTATAAAATGTTCTGGTGGTAGCTTTAATTATAAGAGGAAAAAAAGAAGAGGATGTTGATCATATTTTTTTATTAATTAAAAAATAAATTACTACAAAAAGTAATAGTCAAAATGTGTCATAATCAACTATAAATGATTCACATTAAAACTAAGAATTTATGGGGATTTTAGTTTTTATATAATAAAATAAATTATTTATCTGATTTGAAATAAGATATTAATTTTTTTAAAAAAAATTATTTTGGAGTTTCCCACCTAAAATCTGAATTTTAATAATTAATATGGAGAAAATCTAGAATTTCTTGATTTTTTATGATAATTGAAGCCGCCTCTACGATTTGTCACTTGGCTGCTCCCTTCAACAATTGAACAACGACCCTTTTTTTTTTTAAAAAAAAAGAATTCTCCATTGAAATTATTTTTTATGTTCCCTCAAATCAAATTGGATTTGATGCACATAATGTAATTTAATATAATTGAAATCTTCAAAATAAAAAAGTCCATGTGGGTGCGTGTGGAGTACAAGTCCTTGGAAGAAGTAGGTCACTCTCTCTTTGAAGAAACACGCACTAAATCTATCAGAAGACTAGCAATAGGGTAGCTAAATTATTAAATGAAGAAGAAGACTTTTATAAAAGTGATTTTCATTTCCTTTTTAAAAAGCAAGTGAACAGAACCTGCAATGAAGTTTCCACATGCGTATGTTTCGCTATAAATACCACCACACAATCATACCTTCCTCTCACAATAATTCCTAACACAAGCAATTGTCTTTATATTCTTTGTTTACGCCAAGAGACGAAGCAAGCAAGAAAAAGAGAGCAGAAGAATGTTTCATAGCATTATTGATGCCATTACAGGTGATCATAGTAATGGGACTAAAAAGATGGTGAAGAAAATCAAAGGGACTGTTGTGCTGATGAAGAAAAATGTTCTGGACTTCAATGATTTCAACGCATCAGTTCTTGATCGTGTTCATGAGTTGTTAGGCCACGGAGTCTCTCTGCAACTCGTTAGCGCTGTTAACAGCGATCCCTCTGGTGAGTCGTTGATATGTATTTCTTTATTTTGTTGCTCTTTCAACCTCGAAAACCATTTTTTGTGGGATAATTTGAGCCTGAACCTCTTCGGGAGCCATCTTCTAAGGCTTCATTCTCTATAGTTTACTAGTATCCATGCATGGACGTGCTTCACCTTGGATGAAGTAAAGCAAGCAAAATTGTAGCGTATCAAGGAAATAAGATAAGAGGAACCAAGGTCATGTTCATGATCTGCATGTTAAAGAGTCATCAATTAATTAGTTCTTAATGACTTGATTAGGAATGAATCAACACTTTTTAATATATTGTTTGTGCTTGAAAAAAGTAGAAACTCGTGCAAAAACACCACAGGGAGCAGACAAGTTGATTTGGTAAGGCACGGAACCCACTACTGCTACTTTTTGGACATGCATGGATGATCACGTCGAGGACTAAGGGCATAAAGATTCTGACGTTATTTATACCTAAATGCACTGTGCTAGGAGTAAATTTCAAAATCGAAATGAGGCCAAACCTCGTGCCTGAATCATGTCGAGGACTAAGGGCATAAGGATTCTGACGTTATTTATAACTGAATGCACTGTGCTTGGAGTAGATTTCAATAATCTAAATTTCTTTCTGAATCGTGCCTGAAGCCTGAGTCAAATATTACAGCTATATATATTTTACCCATTCCCCTTCATCTCTCTATATGCGTTGAAATATATGTTATCCTTATTGTTTTTGTATAATTCCTGGACCTGCTATTATTTTTATATTGT